CCTGAGTGTATAAAGTTGGATTTATTTATGATTTTACATGTTTTTACCTAAAGAGTCTGGACTGATTTGAGCAGCTGCTCAGTGCTTTGACTGTTTTTAATCTTATCAGAGCAGCAGGTTTAGCTTTTTTTTTTTTTTAAGATGGCTCAGTTCAATCTCAATAACTGAATTTTGAAGAAGCCAAAAATGTGCCTTTTCAATTCTTTTCCCCAAACCAGGATGTCTGCTGAGGATAAAGATCACGCTCATGCTGCAGACGTTAAACCTGATTTCCAAAGTCCCTGTTAAACCTGTTTTTAATGGATGTGTTGTTGTTGTTGTTGTTTTTTTGTCTGCAGGCGACCAACAGACACTTCCCTCAGACTGTGACAGGAGCCTACCTCAGCGGGGTCCGAGAGGCCAGTAAAATGGCCGCTATGTGACCTTTTACTCACCGTCAGAGCTTCTCAAACGCACCAGCACGGACTCACCCGTTCGCACCGAGCAACACGCCGTTCATCCACTCAGACTGTGGCGACCCGAAGGCCGGAAATGATTTTCTTTTGCTTTACTGCGACGCGTCCGATCAGCAGGACGCCGCTTTTCCAGAGCCGGGTTCTACGTCATTTTAACGCACGAGGGGTTTAAGTACTTTTTATTTATATCAAAATCCGTCAGGTTGTTTGTTGGCGACGAGATGCAAAAATACTGAGAAGTGACCATGTGACGCTCTGTGCTGGAAAACAGGATGACGTTTTGAGTTTCATGATATTTGTACTTCTGTGATGACACTTCATTTTTCAGTAATTAGGCTGCATGAAACATTGGTGAGATCTCCATCTAATCACAAATTTAACTCCAAGAATCACGATTTGAGATATTATTTGACGGTTATATTTAAAATATCTTCTTTGAGAGTTACCTACCAATGTTTTATACGACTGTTATGGATCTGAATTGTCCTTTTTTGTGATTAATGTGTCGTTACATGAATGGAGGAACGGTTAGATTCGTAGTACTTCTAGCACTTTTGATTTAAAACAGTAAGAAAAAGAAATGAATAACGACGTGTATGACAAGTTAATTTGCATGTAGGGCTGAGATTGATCAGAGAAACAGTTTGTCCCCTTATTTTCTCAGGGATGTGATCAGGACAAAACCAACCAGCTGATAATAATAAAAGAAAATAATGAAAATGGACAATTTCTGAAAAAAAAACCACAACCGACTGAAGGAGGAAAAAAAAAATGTGTTTGTCTTGTGTTAATTCCTGAACAGTTAAGCTCCTGAGGTTTGGGGTCGGGGAACAGCACAACAACGTCCTCACTTTGTTCGATTAATGTTGACTAATGATGCTTCATGTGTAGATTCATATCTGTGTCTGGATCAGTACATCCATACGATCATGTCCTGTTTGTCTGACTTCACAGTGCTCAATATTTATCTTGTATGTGTGTAATAAACTGAGCTACCAACTGCCGTAATGATCGGTTTCCCTCATGGATGAATACTCAGCTCCTTTTTTTCCTACATCTCCTTAAGTCAGCAACTAGAAAATTACAATTAAGTTTTGTTTGCAAACGTGCTGAAAATTAACAAGTTTCAGCATCTTGGCATGTGGATACAGGGTTTGTAGGTTTTCTTAGTTTTCTGTAATAATTGAATATCTTTGAGTTTTTAAATTTTGATGGTCACAAAATAATCAAGTTAAATACGTAACGACGCCTCTGGGAAACAATATAACATTTTTCACATATCTATGTTAAAGAAAAGTAGGATTGCTATTTAAAGTGTCAGTTTAAACCTAAAAGAAAAAAAAATCTTCATGTTCAAATTATGCAAGTCATTTTATATAACACATTGTATTGTAGGGTTTAAATCTTTATATTAAATTAGTGAATTTGTATAATACATAACAATATTACATGTGAAGGTAAATGTCTTATACAATATTGTAAATACTTAACCTTAACATTTAAAATATTTAGATACATTTTTAAAATCAATAATAATATTGTAGGATCTTCAACTTTATATTTAATTTATTTAGTTCAGATTCAGATTTTGAAAACTTTATTCGTCCCCAGGGAGCAATTAAAAAGGCACAAAGAGCAGGCAGTGCAACAATGACGAAAAGATAAGTAACATAAACAAATAGGGATAAATATCAATATATATATACAAATGTCGGACAAGTAAGATAATAAGAATAAAAACAGAATGAAAGAAAATCAAGGCAAACGTTTCCGGTGCATTAAAGGAAAAACGTCCAGAATGATTGAATTTGAATTTCCCTTCTGGGATCAATAAAGTATTTTTCATTTCATGATCAGTAGCTTCATTCCACCAGCTGTCAGAATGATGAACTGCTGATCCAGATATGCAAACACTTGTTTATTTAAATTGCTTTAAGTTATTGGATCCTGAAGAAACGCGCTTTCATCTTGCCTGCGCTACTGTGTCTGTACAGCAAAATGACAATAAACTTGATTTGATTTTCTTTGTAGCTTTAGCTTTACTTTAGCTTGAGTTTGGATCAGTTGCTATGTTGGGTTTTTTTCCTCCAGTTTTGTTGCTAGGCGACTACTAAATCCGTCGACCAATGACGTGGTGTAGCGTCATCAATGGTCGCCGTAGCGCCTTCCTCCAAAAAACTAAGCGGAAGAAAACCAACGTGAACTGGGACCGTAACGCATCCCCGGCTGGTGGAACTGGTAGTGGAACTGGTTTCATGGGACTGTGTGGGTGGGTGACTGTGGCTGTTGGTTGGCGGGGGCAGCACGCTGGGTAGCTGTCGGCTAAAATAACCAGCAACCGGCTGAGACGAACGGACAAATTAGCTAACATCAACTCAGGACGAAGCTAACAACTGTACGTCAAAGTTGGCGTGTTTTGGATGAAAATCAGAAATAACTCGTGCTGAGCAACAGAATGGACTGCAGCCCTGCTAAAATGACAGATATTGTTGTACAGGAATCTACAGGTAATTAGATTTACAGTGTTATTCTTCATTTTCACTGAAGAGGTCGATATTGTATTGAGCTGCGTAGCTAACAGCTAGCTTACAACTTCGTAATAAACCACTGTCCTCGCTGCTGCTAGCTTAGTTTAATAACAGTTATTACAGGAGAGTTTACATTGATCCAACCTTGTGACTTTATAAGATGGATATGAGCTTTTAGATATGATTATTTACACATGAGCCACATAAATACCCAACAGTACTCCTGGCACAGTTTAACCAAGTACTTTACACACAATTAATTTATACTTTAAATATTTCCATTTTATTTTTCCTCATACTTGACTGCATCTTTGACTCCACTACGTTATTCTGCTCATAACTTTATGGAGTTACATTTTAAAACATGTACAGCTTCTCCAATTAGTTGCTTCACATATGAGTATAATAAACAGAAATATAACTGTAATAATTTATTACATTCTGTCCATTCTTTTTTAACATAGCAGAATAAGTATTTGTTATTCCAAAACTAGGCATCTCTAGAACAGAATGGACTTCATGAAGCAGCTATATACTGGAAATATTAATGTGCAGATGGAGAGTGGAGTCATAGAGCAGAAACCATAAATCAATGAAGAGCCACATATCTGCGACAGGGAGGGTTAATGAGGCTGTTGATGCTGCTTCTGGAATGTTGTCCTACTCTTCACTCTTGTTGTTGTCAGAGACTATTCATCAGACAACAGATGGTGGAATTTTGGACATTCAAGTGCCTGGTTTCAGCCCAAACTGACACGCAGCAGCCAAGGGCACGATCTCGTCTTTGCTCGTCACCCTGAAAGATGCGTTTTAGGATGGCTTTTAATATAGTTTAATAGAGTGTTTGTTTACTGGTCATGCTATGCAGTCATTGTCCTTCGAAGCCACACCTGACGAAGGTGTGGAGTCATTTAGTGTTCGAAAATATGTCACCAGTTGAACAGCTGGAAAACTTAATGTGCGCAGATTGAGATGTTAAACTTTCTAAGTCAGAATAGAATACCGTTTGCAAACTGTGTTTCTGTTTTTGTTCAGTGTACACAATCTAGGTAGAAGCTTCATGTTGACCTGTAGTAACGCAAACTTCAGTTATGATAATCCCCTACCATATATTATACAGCAGCATCTGAAAAGAAGCAGTTCTTCATGAGTGTTTTTGCTTTTGATAGTTTATTTTGATAACATTTACTTGAATTCCTGTATTTATACTTGAATTTTCCCAATGGACAGTGCTAGTATTTGTTAAGTAAAGGGTTTAAGTTTTTATTGGTATTAAACAGTCACAATACTAAATTAATGTCTAACATGTCGAGTTAGTAAAGCTGCTGTCTGGAGTAATACCACTAAATGCAAATCCCAGAGGCTGCATCTGTTGCTATCCTAATTTTCCTTGTTCTCTCATTTTTCCTGCAAAGCTAGACTGTCAAGTAAAGGTAAATGCCCAGAAAATTCTCATGCAAACAACCATATTTAACATTCACTCTGTATGTGATCCCATGTTAAAGTTCCACTGTGGAGGACAGTAACACTTGGGAAAACATTTTTTTTCATATTTCCAAGTTAATTAACCTTTATTAGAAAAGCAGGTCCTGACTGTATTAATGTGGTTGTGATTCCCATGGACATACCTAACTTTCACTGTCCTGTTTTTTGCTTAAAAGAAGTTACCTATACATTAGTGTAATATGCCATGTGTTCCAAGCAAGAATACTTTCAAATATATCGAGTTTATGAGACCGAACTTGACATCTGGTATTTACTCTTAGTACTGTTAACCCTGTAACTAAATGTATTGTGCCTCGAACTGATTAGGGACTAACAGCTCCAGCTCTGAAGAGTTTGTCCCTCTGTCAAAGCTCCTGATGACACCATCCAGTAAGGAGAGAAAGTCACGTGACAACAGCCACAGCTTAACCTCCAACTCCAACGCTATTTCCTCCCAGGACAAAAGTACATAAAGCACATGGTACCACTTAGTTTTGTATTTTTGCTTCAGATTGTTGTGTTATTTTTTTATGTATGTTGTATTTCCTCTTGTAGCTTTGGACTCCTCAGACGACGAGCCGCTGATAAAGCAGAAAACAACATTTGCACCACCTAAGAAAGTCGAGAAAAAGGAAAACACACCACCGGGATCTAATGGCACAAATAAGAAGAATGCAGGTGAATATATGACCACAAGTCATCAGCGATATTTCAGCTCTATTTTCTGATTTGTGTCTGGAAGACAATGGCTTTGTATCTTTTGCTTTTTGTCTTACTGTCACAGGTTTGAACGCAGATGATGACTCAGACGATGAACCTCTCATAAGAAAAGTGTCCTCCAAAGGTGCAAAGAAGCTTTTCTCAGTGCCACCAAAAGCATCTGTTGATACGAAGAAGACTGGTGATATTTTCTTTTCTTAATGGACCTTCTTTTCTCTGTATCAGACACTAAGTCATTCTTTTCTTAAAGGACACTGGACAAGAACAGTAGCTCTGATGATGAACCTCTTTTGCTTTGTCTTGCTGTTGCAGATTTGAACACAGACGATGACTCGGACAACGAGCCGCTGACAAAAATCGCCAAAGTGTCACGTGCAAAAAAGCCTTTGTCGGTGCCACCAAAAAAATCTGGTGACAGGAAGAAGCCAGGTGAGATTATCTTCCCTCCTGGAGAATCAACAGAAAGCTGCTTCTCTCTTTATATACAGACTCACTGGACAAGTACGATAGCTCAGATGACGAACCTCTTTTGCTTTTTCTGACTGTTGCAGATTTGAACACAGATGACGATTCTGACAACGAACCTCTGATAAAAACGGTGTCCTCCAAACCTGCAAAGAAGCCTTTCTCAGTGCCACCGAAAGAATCTGTCGATACTAAGAAGACAGGTGAGATTATTTGCTCTCCGTGGACCTGCTGCTGTCTGTCTCACACGTATTCATTCTTTTCTCACAGAGTAACTGGACAAAGACGATAGTTCCAGTTATGAACCTCTTTGATTTGCTTTAACATTGCAGGTTTGAACACAGATGATTCTGACAACGAACCTCTGATAAAAAAAGGATCTTCCAAAGCTGCAAAGAAGCCTCTCTCAATGCCACCAAAAGAGTCGACTGGTACTAAGAAGACAGGTGAAACTACTTTCTCTCCATTGGTCTGTGTCAGACAGTATCTCATCCTTTTCTTACAGAGTCACGAGATCTGGATGTTTGGTCAGATGAAGAATTTCTTGTGCTTTTTGTCGAACTGTTCCAGCTTTGTACACAGATGATGACTGGGACAACGGTTTGAGATTCAAAAGTGTTTATTCGCCACATGCTCAAGCAGTATGTGCCGTGAACGTGATGAGACAAAAAACAAAAATTAACCTCTTTTGCTTTTTGAACACAGACGATGACTCTGACAACGAACCTCTGATAAAAAAAGTGTCCTCCAAACCTGAAAAGAAACCTTTGTCGGTGCCGCCAAAAAAATCTGCTGATAGGAAGAGGACAGGTGAGATTATTTTCTTTTCAGGACTTTGAGCATCAACAGAAAGCTGCTCAGACACTCACTCATCTTTTTCTGACAGAGTCACTGGACAAGGACCAAAGCTCAGATGATGAACCTCTGAGTGAAATTGCCAAAAAACGTCCCCGTAAGAGAAAAGCATCCGTCGTGCAGTCTACGAAAACAAGCCCGGTTATTAAATCCCAAAGGACTGCAGCGAGGAAAGGAGGTTGGTGTAAAACTGTGGAAATCTGAACTCACTGTAAATGTTTTTCCTCTGTGTAATTAACACTTACTACTTGTTTTTGTTTATTCTAGTTACATATGCTGAAGCCTCCAGTGACAGCTCAGATGATGAGCCGCTGGCAACAATAAGGAGGAGTAAATCGAATGAAAACAAGAAAACAACAACAAAACGTAAAGAAAAATCACTAAAAGGTAGGCGTCTACTTCAGTAATTAAGTTTAATTAAGGGTAGTTCAAGTACTAACTTTTCAAATATTAACAGACTCTTCATCCTCAGACAGCAGCTCAGACGATGAGGACGTTCCGCTGAGGAACCTCGTTGCCAAGAAAAGGAAACCAGTGAAGAAGAACACAAAAAAGAGCACCGGGGGCAGTGCATCAAAAAAGAGACAAGGTACTCCAGCAGTAATCATGACCAAAGAAAACATGGTTTTGTTCTAAAAACATCACAGAAAAACTTCCTAAATTCTTGCCGCTGTGACTTTTATTCGGCAGAACTCAGTGATGAAAGCTCAGACTACGAACCTTTGAGCAATCTGGTGAAAAAGACCCGCACAGACAAACAAAGAAAAAGCAGAACAACGGCTTCGACTCCGAAGAAGAGGAACGCAAATTCTCAAAAGCCAAGAAAGATGCTTGTAAGAAGTAAGTACTCTAATGTTGCCACCCCTAACTAATAAAGATAACAGAGGTTAGGGTAACAGCTGAAGGAGGGAGTTGTGGAAGTCAGTTTGGGGGTTTTTTCTTGGTTCAAAATGGGACTACGCACAACAGGAAACATGATCAGTCCACATAAGGTTCAAACAATGACTCTGTGTCGCCTTATTTGACACAAATCTCTGCCCTTTTATGCTGTTTTTGACCATTTATTTACCAAATTGTCTATTAGAATTGAATAAATGAAACCCCAATGAACAAAAGTGGTAAAACACAGAATTGCTTGTTACATATTCAGTCTTTATCTTGTTGGCCTTGACTGAAACCTTTTTGAAGTGATGCCAAAGTTTCCTCTGCACAGGAAAAATTGTCATTAACAAGTTGCTCTTTGACCTGGTAAACGTGTTAGAAAATGTTGAGTGAAGAAATCAAAACAAGTGGAAACAACTAGATTAGTAACAGCAAAGAAAAGTCGAGCTGTTTACAGCTGATGAACCTTCCCTGGAACTGCTTGATATGGAACAAATGATGTGTTTTTAATTAGGTCAAGATGTTTATGCAACTCTTCTGTTTCCTCTGTCCCTCTCCGTTCTTCTTCTCTGTGGTTTTTAATTAATCTTCTCTTAACCTTCTAAAAACTAGCTGGTGGTGTTTGACAGGCATGTTAAAAACAGTTGCTAAACATTGATCAGGGAAAGAAACAGTTAATACAGAAAGAATCGTCGAGTTTTCAGCTTTACAGCAGTCGCCAAGCTAATGGTCAGTGGCTCAGTCAAGAAACCACAAAACCGCCGTTTTTCATCACAATCAGTTAATTCTACGTCTTCTTTAAAACTGGACAAAAATAAATGACTTGCTCTTGAAAAGCTTGTGTGAAAAACAAAACATTTTGCGCTCGTCCTCGCAACTGGGCAGCCGTAAAATATAAGCAGTAAAATATCTGTAGTATGTAGAGTCACCAGTTTTTCTCGTATCGAAGCACCTGCAGGCACCAAAAGTTCTACATCTTGAGTCCAGTTTTTTTTCCAATTTTGATGAGATAAACTAAGAATTTCAACTTTTTTTCTTCTTTATTTATGATTTGGCTGCAAGGTGGCGCAGTTGGTAGCCCCGTTACCTCGCAGCAAGAAGGTCGCCGGTTCGCATCTCGGTGGGGGCACCCGGGATCTTTCTTTTGCATGCATGAGTTTGCATGTTCTCCCCGTGCAGCGTGGGTTCTCTCCGGGTTCTCTGGCTTCTTCCTATACAGTCCAGAAACATGCTGAGGTTAATTGGTGATTCTAAATTGTCCGTAGGTGTGAATGTGAGTGTGCTTGGTTGTCTGTCTCTAAGTGTAGCCCTGTGATAGACTGGTTACCTGTCCAGGTGAACCTGCCTTCGCTCTAAGTCAGCTGGGATAGACTCCAGCCCCCCGCGACCCTCGTGAGGATTAAGCGGTGTGTAGATAATGGATGGATGGATGTATGATTTGTCATTTTAGCTGTGTCATACAGCATAGAAGACGTTTCTTAGGTCTCTGTCCCTCTTCATGGTTGTTCTGTTTCCACAGAGCTGCATGACTTTATATCGCAGAGAACAATGAGCCAACAGTCAGGAGCCAAAAAACTCAGAAACTTATTACAGGGTTAAAGCCACTAATTTACTTATCCATCCATCCATCCATCCATCCATCCATTATCTATACACCGCTTAATCCTCACTAGGGTCATGGGGGGCTGGAGTCTATCCCAGCTGACTCAGGGTGAAGGCAGGTTCACCTGGACAGGTAACCAGTCTATCACAGGGCTACACTTAGAGACAGACAACCAAGCACACTCACATTCACACCTACGGACAATTTACAATCACCAATTAACCTCAACATGTTTTTGGACTTTGTGGGAGGAAGCCGGAGAACCTGGAGAGAACCCACGCTGCTCGGGGAGAACATGGAGACTCCACGCAGAAAGATTCCGGTGCCCCCACCGGGACGCGAACCAGCTAATTTGCTTATACTTAATTTTATTTCATTTTTTCAGATTCATCAAGCAGCAGTTCAGATGATGAACCTTTAATCGACACCCACCCACCACACCCACAAGTCACCAAAATCCTGAAAGTGCTGCTCGAGAGGTGTGATGAAAAAGCCTCAACAGGGAGCCTGAAGGAAACCACAACAGGTACAGATGATGCAACATTAACACGCTAATGCTGCGATACAACCTCAAAATAACAGTGACGATACTCTTTTTCCTCCAAAGAAGACACATCGGCTGCTGAACAGCCCACGAAGGACGACTCGGAGGGTTCAAAGGAGTCTTTAGAAGAAGCATAAACACATGACTTAAGCCTAAAAATCAGTTAGTGTCTCATGTTAACTTCATCAGCATTGTTTTATATACTTACATTTTATTTATAGTGTTCATGTTTTTACTCCAGCTTTTAGGTTTGGGCCCATGTTGTGCAGGATTTTTCAAGATTTACTGCACTTATTTGATGTTTACTACACCGTATGTGTCCATTTCTTTGCGTTGGCTGGTTCCTCTGGTTTTATTGTTTGTTTGTTTTTAAGGAAGTAGTTTAACATTCACCGTTATACAGTCACATTTCTGCTATCATAGTAAATGCACACTCAGCATGCAGCAGCGACAATCTGTTGTGTTGGATTAAACTGCTTAATTCATATCAGATGAGTCCGACTCTGCTTTAGCCTCAGTTCTTCTTCATCTGCGTCACACGTTTTCAGTCCAGTAGGATTGTAAGTGAAGTTGGTTGTACAGCGGAATGAAAAGGTTTCAAGTAAAGCTGTTGTTGATGTCAACAGCAGGGTGAAAAATGACCTGATTCCCAAAAGGAATAAAGTTAAAGATGAGACGCTTTTTTAATATTTTAAGCAAGATTGTTTTTAAATTTCTGCCCTTTTACAGATTCAAAATAACTGTACAGGAAACGTAAGCAAAGTTTGCACCACCTGCATGGTCAGAACTGAAATGCAGTCAACTCCTGTGTATGAATTACATTTAAATTCCTGCAATTAGTATCGTAGTGGGCTGCAAGGTGGCGCAGTTGGTAGCACTGTTGCCTCGCAGCAAGAAGGTCGCCGGTTCGCGTCCCGGTGGGGGCACCGGAATCTTTCTGCGTGAAGTCTCCATGTTCTCCCTGTGCAGCGTGGGTTCTCTCCGGGTTCTCCGGCTTCCTCCCACACAGTCCAAAAACATGCTGAGGTTAATTGGTGATTCTAAATTGTCCGTAGGTGTGAATGTGAGTGTGCTTGGTTGTCTGTCTCTAGGTGTGGCCCTGCGATGGACTGGCCCCTGCCTTCGCCCAAAAGTCGACTGGGATAGACTCCAGCCCCCACGCGACCCTAATGAGGATTAAGCGGTGTATAGATAATGGATGGATGGATGGATAGTATCGTAGTCCATTGGATTATAAAAACAAATGTGATCCAAGCTAATTACTTAAGGATTACTTCAAAATGAAACAATGAAAATGTTGAACCTTATACTAAAAAAATGGATGCAGCCACAAACTTTGAATTCCACAAATATTCTTTTGAAACTTTCAGAAAAAAAAAATCAGGGCAAATACAATACATTTTGTATATTTACCATTTACAGCTGGTCGAATCAAATTAAACACTACTAGCACAAACAAGTTTATACTGCCGGGATGCAAACTGCTCACTTTTCTGCAAATGTTGCTTTTTTCATGTCCACCTGGTTCAAACCAATTTTTCACATTTCAGAATTTGATTTTTGTTATTAACTGTGATTCAAGATTCAAGTTTGACATCACAAATTCAAATGTAAGTCACTGAAATTCAGTTTCAGCTAGCCCATCCACAGGCCGCCACCGAAGCCCTGCAGACGTCTACCTAAATGTCAGACCGCCACAGACCGCCTGTAAAGTCTCACTGACTGTCAGACTGTCACTAAAGAATCCGTCTTTCACTGAACTGCCACTGAGACGCTACAGACTGCCAATGAAGTCTTACTGAAAGACTTCCACAAAGTGTCACTGAAAAGCCACAGATTGCTAGAAAATACCACTTAAGCACATCAGTCTGCCACTAAAGTGCCACAGACTGTCGGTGAAGGGTCAAACTGCCACTAAAGTGCCACAGACTGCCACGAACATCACTGAGGTGCCATAAACTACCTCAAACTGGCACTAAGGTGTCTCTGTCTGCCACTGAAGTGTTAAACTGCCACTGAGGTGTCACAGACTGCCACAAATTTCCACTAAAGTGCCATAAACTGTCTATGAGATGCCACAGACTTCCACTGAAGTGCCACTAATTGCTGCCGGCTGCCACTGAGGGACCACAGACTTTCACAAACTGCCACTTTAGTTGTTCAGTCTTATACTAAGGTCCCACAATCCACCACTTTAGTGTCACAAATTACCCCTGAGATGCCACTGAAGTTTCCCAGACTGCCCCTGAGCTGCCAGGACCCTCAAGATAAGAGTATAGACTGTCATATATAAAACTTTCTACCCTTTGTTTCCCATACACACCTTCAGTGCAGAAAAAGGTTGATTAATTGGTTAATTATTGTACCTTTTTTTTTTTTTTTTTTAATTAAAAGTGTGAGCAGAATAACATACAATTAAAAACTAACATCTTCAAAAAACAAAACAAGACGAAAAAACAAATATTAATATCAGGATGGTGTACATTATAAAGAAGTATTTTGTTGTTGTTCTTAAATTAAACGGATTTTGAGTGAAGTTTGGTGGGAACTCTTCTTCTTCTTCGCTGCTTTCTGCGGTCCTCCTCCCTCCTCTCCGCCATGTCCCGGTCAGAGTCCGGCAGCGGTGCCGAGTTCAGTCCTCCAAACAGCCGACTCTAAAACAAACCCTGCTGCTGGACTACACCCGAAACACGGGAGGAGTCTGTTAAAGAAGAAGCGGGTTTGTAGCTCAGTCTGTGACCTGCCTGCTTCACCGCCGAGCGAAGAGCCGGTTTAGAGCATCCTGGTTAGCTAACTGTTAGCTAGCATGCTGCTGCCTCCACACAGCGCACAAGTCCTCTCGGGTTAATTTATCTCGTCATGACGGAGCTAAGATGCCGCAAATCAGACACTTTGGAAGGAGACAATGAAGAAGAAGAAGAAAAGCATCAAACTGATCCAGAGCTGGACACCAAAGGTAAGTTAAGCTAACTTAGCTGTTTGCTAACTGAGCACCAGTTAGCAGCCAGAAGCACAAACATCCAGCTAGTGAACTTTTGTGGTTGCAGCAGATGTGTGTGTATGTGTGTGTGTGGATGCTGTGACAGATGGTGTCTGTTGTCACATCTGGGCAGGTGTTGATGAGACGAGTGTGTCCAGAGGGGCAGCAGATGAAAACCTGCAGCAGAGGGAGGAAAATGAAGTTAAAGATGATGAACCTGAGCAGGAGGAGTCCAGCACACCCCAGTCTGCAGTCAGAGCATCCAGGAGCTTATCTGCATGTAAGTGCATTTTTAAATACGCCACTTTGAAGTGTTAGTTTTACTCACTGGTTGTAAGACTGTGCCACAGAATCTAACCTATCATCTAACTTAGGGCAGTGGCTAACAATTTTGTCTGTGGTGATTATTGTCTTGATTAATCGATTGGTTGTTTGGTCAATAAAATGTTAGAAAATGGTGAAAAAGCCTCACATTGACATGCTCCAGTGGCCTGTTTTGCCCACACCTAAAGATATTCAGTTTACTGCCACAGAGGACTACAGAAACAACAAAATATTCAAATATAACTGGCTGAAATCAGTGAAATCAGTGAATTTGTACTTTTTTTCTTTTAAAAAAAAGTACTCAAATTGATTATCAGTTAATTTAATAATCACCAACTAAGCGATTATTTGTTAAATTAAATTTGTTTTAATTATTTATTGCCAACAGACACGTGCAGTAGCGGCACATTGTGCAACAATATTATGTCTTCTCCACTTAAAATTCATTAGAATTGAGGAACTGTGATATTCTTGTGTAGGAGAACAATAAATAAATTTAATACTGATATCATGTTAACAATACATATAGAAGAAAAAAAGAAAAAAACCAAAACAACAAAAAATATCGAGAAGACACCAACAAGGGAACAACATAATTGCGTATTTTCTTTTTGCAATTTGATATGCAATATAATTTATTGAAGTCAGTTCAGTATGCTCTGTGTAACACGTGTGATGGAGCCGGACCGCAAGAGAAGCCGTCTACAGCGTGAGCGTTGCACAATGATGACAGTATGAATTTGTAAACCACAGACATGACAGTTAAAGCCTGAGTTGTGCTGCAGAATGTATGAGGTGTGGCAAATAAATAATGCAGTTAAATATAATTGAAGTACAGCAGTTTAATTGAATTATTTAATAGCCACGCCCGCTTTATCCTCCGCTGCAGCTTTTGGATTCGCTAATTGCATTGTTTTAAATTAAAAACGGATTAAATCGTTCAAACCTACTCTTCACCTCACTGCACCTGTATTTTCTGTAGTTGTGATAATGTTGCTCTAATTACAACACATACAGGCATTCAGGGCTTGCACTGAAGAAAACAAAGCTACTTTAATCCAGCAGCCGATGTAAACGTGGCCCAGAGAGCTCAATGCACTGCAGCTTGAGGAAACGCATGCAAATAGACCAAACACAAGCAAATGAGGAAAACTATTTCACCGATGCGTGCTTGAAAATACAGAAAACACAACTAAATGCAGAAACGCTGCATATAGCCCAGACAAAAACAGAGCTAGGGAGGAACTAAAAGGTGATTATCACTGCTGGAACATGCTTGTTGTTGCAAAAGTGACTCATGAAAATAGTGAAGCTAACGACACATCTACAATGATGGAAAATAGGATAAAATCTAAGAGTTCTGTTTGCTTGTTTTTGAAGCAACATGCATGTCCCAGCTGTGTGCATCGCTTTCTAGTGCCTCCTGTAAACACATCTTGTATTCTGTGATTTTGTTCTGTGTTTGCAAGATTTGTTTCTAAATGCTGGTCAAATTCATGAAAATGTCTTTCTAATTTCCTTCTGTTTTGTCTGTTTACATGTGCTGCTGTGAGTTGAGCTCTCAGATTTGCACTACTTCTGGGCACACCTTGTTTAGACTTAATACACCAGAGAGGTATAACTTTTTTTAAAATAAGTGTTAGCTTTATTTCTAGTGGTTTTCTCCACACTTTAGCTGAGCTCCACCTTTAAAATTCTGATTTAACACTGAAAATGCAGCTGAAAATGACACATGGTCATCAAATGTGGAAGATTTTGGATGCATTTTTTCCTAATGTGTACACATTAGTATGAGTAAATTAATGGTAAATATCTTTTTTTTTTAATTCAGTCAGTGTGTTTGTAGACTCTCAGGTTGCAGCTGCCTTATTTAAAAAAACAAAAATCAAAAAGAGTGCAGCAGGATGGAGATGTTTTAAAATATCAGAGGGTTAAACAGGTGTCATCTCAGCTCGACTGCCTCCAACAGCGCCACAGTGATGTTGATCGTTGTGTTTACTGTTGTGTTCCTGCTGCTCAGCGGGTTTCCTGCAGCGCCTGGTGAGGGTTTTCTTCGGGTGCCTGGCAGCTGTCGCCTGCGGCATGCTCTACGCCGTGTATCTATCTACGTACCATGACAGGAAGTTTTGGTTTTCCACCAGGCAGGTGGGTGACTGTTTTTTTTTGTTTTTTTTTTATGAGCCTGCTTCCATTGCGTTTCCACTTTATATCATATCAGCTCTAATGTTCACTGTGTGTGTGTTTCAGGAGCTGGAGCGTGAAATCACTTTCCAAGAAGGCAGCGGGCTCTATTATTACTACTACAAACACATGCTGGCAGCTCCATCCTTTGAAAGAGGTACCTGTGCCTCTTGTACAAATGAGAAAACACTAACAGACAGTACCGTTGATGTCCCTTTTGTTAAAAACTCTGTTATGCTGTTTTCCAGGGTTTTATGAGCTGACGATAGACAACAAGACTGTTTCAGGTCAAACCATCAACGCAGTCGAGCGTTTGTCTCTTTATCCGGAGCTCATCACCAGCTTCGTGTACAGAATCACCGGCAGCCAGGTGAGCGTCTCTGTTGCTTTCTGCTGTGCGATCAGTTTCTTAAGCTCCCTGGTGAAATTCACATGTTACAGCAGCTGAAAAAACATAAGCAGAACCCTAATAAATTAAAATGAAGCAAGATAAAAACCAAGATCCATCCATTATCTATACACCGCTTAATCCTCACCAGGGTCATGGGGGGCTGGAGTCTATCCCAGCCGACTTAGGGCGAAGGCAGGGGACACCCTGGACAGGTAACCAATCTATCACAGGGCTACACTTAGAGACAGGCTAAAAACCAAGATGAAATATAAAAAAAATAAAGATAGACAGTAAAAGTAGTAAAGACTATATATGGCATGATGGATAATTCTTTGTATGTATAATTGTAAGACACACATGTAATGCTTAGAATTGCACTTAAAGATATTAAGAGCAGATAAATATAATTGCACAAAAGTTGAATTACACACAGTTGGATGTAATAAATAATGTTGCACATGAGCGTAAACATATCATATGAAAATATCATAATATATAAAGAATATATACTGTATGTAGGATATGCATACAGGCTTTGATATATAACTGGTACATATTATGTAATAATAGTAATTATAATAGACGATATTTTGCATGTTAAAGGATAATTACACCATATTAATATCAGTGTGTATTTCATAATATGTTGCACATGCTCTCTATATGTTTTTTTAATCATCTTTTTTTTTCCACTTGTTCTCTATTGTGCAGAGACATAAAAGGTGCTGCTCTCACTGACTCTTTTTCATCGTGATTTCCCTTTTTTTTCACTCTGAGCACTTGTGTTTGAAACACTCTGACATTTTCAGATTGTTACCGGTGATGCTGTTGTCATAGAAACGCTATGTTGACACATGGCCTTAAACCACGATGAGCAAATAGTCACTGAACAAACAGATTGAGAAACATAATTCCTATCACTTTTTTTTTTTTTATTTTAGACTGATGCAAAGTTAAGGCCTTGATCGCCCTAAAAATGATTCTGAGCCTTGAAAGGCTGCAGACCCAGCAGGACAGATCCTCCTCCAGTGTGGATGTTGTTATTTTTAGCGCTTTTCATGAGCCTTTGAAAGTGCAATAAAAGATTCCGATCAAGCGGTTTGTAGATTTGTAGAGAAAACGTGAATCGTGCTGCCAAATTCTTCAAATGTCGGACTGATGAGCAGAAAATAGAAACGCAGACAGGCTGTCATGGAGAAGGCGTGCCATCTTTGTGTAATAAACTATTGAGCGCTTCATGCATGACAAACATAAGAGTAGTCACATGCCAGAGTCAAGTTATTTGACTAAGACTGGTTCAGCATTCCAACATGTTCAGACAAGTGAGCTTGAAACCGCAAATAAAACACAACAAAACAAACAATCCGCTGTTTTTCTGGATGATAGGCCTTGTGATAACATAGCAGCGTTAAACCCGACTCACTGTAGCAGGTTATTCTTAGATTTTTACATCAGTGTGCAGTTTGTTTGTTTGCTTTTTTGCTTTCCAATCACTGCCCTTGTTCCTGATACAAACAGGATTTCGTGGAGCCCGTCTACTTCTACGTCGGAGCGGTGTTCGGCCTCCAGGCGGTCTACGTCACCGCCCTGTTTGTGTGCAGCTGGGTGATGAGCGGCACGTGGGTGGCCGGCATGTTGGCTGTTGCCTGGTACGTGATCAACAGGTGAGGAAATCTGCCAAACTGATCCTCGTACTCGTGTGAAGCTCCTCGGAAGTAACGCTATAAAACAAGATTACACAAGTAAAGGTTTTAGCGGTGATGCCTCCTGTCTCTGATCTCCAGGTCACCTCTTTTCTTTCTGCTTTTCTGTGATTCGTCCACCTGAGTTTTTCCCGTTTCGCCCACAGACCAGACACGACCAAAGTGGACCAAGCGCTTCCTCTGCGGGACAACTGGGCTCTGCCGTACTTCTCCTGTCAGGTTGCAGCTTTGACTGGATTCCTGAGCAACAACATCAGCTCTGCCACCGAGGTGAGCCGTCATAACAAAATGTTTTATTGTGCATACAAAAAGGTCTGCAAATGTACAAATCCCAAACTCCAGAGCGCGCTAGTTTGCAGCCTGCCCATTCTGATGAACTGTGTTTCCCTGTAGATGTTCTGCTATCTTACCATGAGTGCCACCACCTTCACCTTCCTCCTGGTCTGGGAGTACAGCCACTACGTGCTCTTCGTCCAAGGCCTCTGTCTTTTTCTGCTCGACTCCTTCGACCTGGTGCCGCCACGGAAGGTAACGCAGTCCTGATTTAACGCAGCAGCTGCTCCAACTGTTGAATCCCGTTTTGTTTCTGTGGGACATTACGTTATTACATTATTATAAACACGCTATATGCATTATTGTAGACACACTCCAGTGCTCAAAAACAACACAAATTTTATTCTTACAACCCAACGACTCCATATGTAGTAGACCATATGATCTGATTTTAGCATCTTGCTGCTTAAATTTGCATATTAATGAAGCAAAACGGACTTTTTTTGGAGCTTCTTTTAGCGTTCTTGATGACAAACTGCGAACATTCTAGTGATGTAAGCATTTGTCATTCAGTCGTGGCAGGACGTAAGGTATAAGGTTAGTTCAGGAATAAAAAATCTGCCTACCAGAAAAACTAAAGCTCCAGGAAATCACTGCACTCAACCAAAGAATTGTACCAATTTTTTTTGGTTGAGTGCTTCCATGTTAATAAATAAATGAGTATTTTCCATTTACCATATTTGTACAAAACCAGATTAGCTGTTCCTCATTGCTTCCAGTCTTTATGCTAAGCTAACCCTCTATTAGGTGTAGTTTTAGAGTTTTTAAATTTCTCATCTATCTTTTACCATGTTTTCCTTAATGGCAAAGAAGTTGAATTTTTTTGTTTAAGCTTTAGATTCTTGGATTTATTTCCCATTTTTTCATATAAAGATGTGTAAAAAGAGCAAAAAATGCTGTTGTCTTTTTTAGTTTTAATGGGGTTTGAATATTTTTATGAATGTTTGAAAATGTACAAATACCATTTTGTACAGCATGTTAAAGATCTTTTTTTTTTTTCTGTGTCTCTATTCTCTTCTCACTGTTTCTCTGTTTCTTCTTCATCCCGTCGTTTCTGGACGTAAAGATGGCCGACATTCACAAGGTTTACCTCAGCTCCTTGTTCTTGGCCTACTTGTTCCAGTTTCAGAACGCGGCCCTGCTCAGCTCGCCGCTGCTCAGCCTCCTGATTGGCTCAGTGCTCGCGAGGTACTTCCAGGTAGAGTTAGCTTCCCCCCTCACATCGGAGCTCAGTCGGATGACGCTTTACTGGCATTTAGTGCAATTGACAAACTGTTTAATAGCCACTTTTGGTAACTAACTCGCATTCTACTAGTTCTGGTTACAGTGTTTGTTTCTTTGCTGTGTGTCTCAGCATTTGAAACGGGATAGTTTTGATCTGAATGCAGAGCTACACCCACGAAATGTGTGTTTCTGTTGCAGCAAAAGATGAAGATGGGGCCTCTTGTTGCCAGAGTGATGAAGCTCTTCCTACATTTCCACCTGGTGTTCACCACCGGGATCACCTTCAGTTACCTGGTCAAGGTGAGCTCACTGGAAAACGACCTGTTCATGTCCATTAATCTGTTCAGTGCTGAAGTTCAGAGAAATCAGTGTTAGTTTTTAAGTTATTGGAGAGTAAATAGTGTTAATTTGTTTACAGAAACTTATTCCTGTGAGTGAGAGCGACTTCATATTGAAGTTCCTTGAAGTAAAGTTTGGACTCAACACAACAACGTGAGTTAAACGTGTCCTGTTTCAGTCCGTGTAATCTGATCTACTGTCGTCTAACCGCAACGTTTTCTTTCCCTTCTCGTCAGTGATTTTGTCACCAACTTCCTCCTGTGCCAAGAGAGTCTCCAAACGCCCGGTCAGGATTTATTTCTGCGACTGACGCAGGCCTCGGTCCTTCCTTTTTATCTCCTGGTGCTTAGCGTCTGTCTGCTGTCCACCCTGCAGACCATCTACAGAAGACTCAGGTCAGAGGCATCATCAAACACCCATCTAATCAGCAATTGCTTGTTTTTTTCATTTTTTTTAGAAACATGTTTTGTTGGTTAACCGTTGATTTGACTGTTCCTTCAGGGTGTTACTGCTTTTTTGTGCAAACCTACAAAACTCAAATAGAGTTAGACTCTCCCACATAAAACTCTGCTCCTTACTCGCTTGAAACACATTTTTTTGATGTCCAGCTTTTTAATTCTGTGAGTTATCTCTCACCAATGCCTGCCTGGCGGTTAGTTTGGTTCAACATCAGACAATGGACAGCTTCCCCTGAGTCTGTCACTATTTCCTCACTAGAATAATTAAATCCTATTGTGTAGCCACTTTATATTTAAAAAATCTCAATCTTTATACCCAGGTTGTAAATACTGCTTCACATTTTCTGTATATTGTCACACATTCTCCATAATTAATAACACAACTGTAATATGTAGTAGAGTCAGGTGTTATAAGCTCCTCAGATGTTTCTATTGTAGTGTTCGTAGCTATCGAGAGCATAAATTGGCTCAGAGGAGTGACCGACTATAGTCAATCGTAATCACTCATGACAGCAAACAGTTTTCATCCATCTTCAACCTGGACAGGAAATCTACAGAAACAAACCGGTTTAATAAAATGTTCTTCCATGCAAATAGGAGTTTGCACACAGCCTCTGATAGTTGTAATTACAACAGAGTAGAATAGTAAAAGGAGTGATCTGTGAAACGGTGAATCAGGCGGTTTCTTGTCAGTGGATTTCTGGTCAAAGAATGATTATTTTTCCACATTCGACTGTATTCCCATTCTCTCTCCACCACAGCGGTCAGCCGATGAAAACCAACCACAGACTGGAAGACGGACGAATAGGAGAGCAGCCCGAGGTCATCTATCACGTTTTTCACACGCTGTTTTTCGGAGGCTTGGCCTTGCTGTTCGACGGGTACGTTCGTCTGCGTCACGAGTGTTTTCCAAAATGCAGGTTTGTTCGTTCTTCTTTGACACGACTGGACATTGCCTGTGTTCTCTCGCCACGCAGGTTGAAGTATTTATGGACGCCGTACGTCTGCATGTTCACAGCATTTGGTGTGTGTTCTCCAGGCCTCTGGATGACAGTGTTTAGGTGGCTCAAACTGAAGTCCATCCACCCTGTAGTGTTGGTCAGTGTGTTTTCTTCACTGCACGGCTGATGTTTTCTCAGATTTCTCCTTAATATACTCAGAAAACAGTGTTTCTCACTTGCATAAGATAAATTTGAAACTTAGCCGAAACATCAGAGTTAATTATTTGATTCACTTGTCACAGTAAATCAGGAAAAACTGTATTTTTATTGTTTTCTTTCTCTTCAGTCTCTGATTCTGAGCACAGCTGTTCCCACCATCATCGGCTTCAGTTTGTGGAGAGAGGTGAGATTTTGAGCCTTTTATATTCAGAATCTCTTTACGTAAGACACAGAGCTTCCATAATTAGTATCACTGTCGGGTCTCAACCTTAGTATATGTTATAGTCAGGTGGTATATGTAAATTTTGCAGGGTTATAAGCTCCTCAGACTTTCCTATTGTAGTGTTTGTGGGTAATGAGTGTATAAAATGGGTGCTATTTAAATTGGCTCAGAGAAGTCACCAGCTGTAGTCAACTGTATTCACTCATGAGAAGTTAAGAGGCCACTAAGAAAATTTGATGAAGACAACTTTCTATATTTGTAAAACTGAGAATTCGTGTACAACCGTGACTTGATAATCCGACCCTAAACAATCCGGGAACCTTTCTATCCGACAGGTTTTTAGGAAAAATGAACAGAACCCATGAAAAATAGCCTTAACATAGCAACAGCCTTGGATTCTGACTCCAACATGACGTTTTATGTCACCAATCAGGATAACGGCGTATTATCTGACTGAACAATCCCAAAGATTGGCTACGTTCACACTGCAGGACTTAATGCTACATTCAGATTTTTTTGTGAAATCCGATTCTTTTGCGAGTTTTATCACGTTTCCAATTAAATGCGACTTGTATCTGATCTGCTGTGTGAACTTCATACGACCCAAAAGTGTCCCGCATGCGCAGAAGAGGACACGACGACGTCACACGCAGCGAGCGTGCTCAGTAAACACGGATGGTAACGGTGGAGCGTATCTGCCACTCCCCCGCCGCCACCGATGGTGGAAACAGAAGTGTGAGCGCTAACTAAACTAGCATCAGCAGCCAAGTACTGCCTGTGTGTTCCGGACACTTCCAACTCGTCGGAGCGCTCCCCCGGGGTGGAAGTCCCCACTGACCGCGCCGAATATTCGGATAGTCATCATGAATTGGGCCTGAATAGTGCTGTTCGGACCAGCCCTACTAGTTATTATAACAACTATAAACAATAAATATTAACAACTAATGAGCCTTCCAGCATCAAGCCCTCCTTGTATCTCGACATCCATCCTGACAATCCGACAGCCTTGCTATCCGACATAAAAGAAGGTTTTGCATTTAGTGTCAGATTATCGAGTCACGACTGTATGTATATTTTTGACCCGGCAGATTTTGTTATAGTTCCAGAAAACCTGTAATAAATCTGTGAAAGAACCAGAATTTGTGGTTGTTTTTTTTTTGTTTGTGGCAAAGATGCACGAGTTTCAAAGACTCCATCATAGAGTTATAGGAGTCGCTGGAAACTCATACACATGGTCTTTACAAGTGTTCATGTTGTGCTGCAGTACTGCCCTCGTGTCTTAGCTGAGCTGTCGGATCTGCCGGAGTTCTACGATCCGGACACAGTCGAGCTGATCAGCTGGATCAGGTGGGTCGACACATCTTTCTGCATCTCCAAAAAAAAAGAAGAAAAAAAACAACATTTAGAAACTCTTTAACGGTGACCTTCCCTCTCCCCTCCCAGGTCTCAGACTCCGGTGGCGGCCGTGTTCGCCGGAAGCCCTCATCTGTTAGGGACAATCAAACTGTGTTCTGGTGCAGCTGTGACCAGTTTACCGCTCTACTCGGACATCGACCTGCTGAGGAGGACTGAAGATGTGAGTGAACTGAAGGATTCACGCCGAAGGACACAAACAGTAGCAAAATGGGATTTAGAAAAGCTGTAATTTTAATATTTCCACATAAAAGAAACACAAATGTAACTAAAGGAAGACACAAAACAAGACTGAAATTAGAATGAATGAGTAGATTGCAATAATTATAGAAGCATTCATTTGAATTTCACCAATTAAATGATAGCAGGAGAACATGATGATGAAGGTTCAAAGTAATATCTGTCGTATAATCAAAGAGCTGCCATTTTTTTGAAGGATATTTAGGTCTTGTTACTCAGTGAATAATAGATCAGTATCATTTATATTTAACTCGGTCAGAGTTACTGCCACACAGAACCTGATCCAGACAGATGCAACAAATTCATCTCTGTGCATCAAAATTGCATATTTTCTATGATCTATCTAGATGAACTGTCGCCCTGTTTAGAGCATGTAAATCTATGAGTCGGCATCCACTTGTCTCTCTTCACTGTAGCTCGAGCACTCCAGCTCACCTACAACTCTCTTCAAACTCTGTAAAACTAAGAGTAATTCAGCCACACATGTCTGGTGGTGCTTGTTTTGCTCATAATATTCCTTTTAGCAGATTAAAAAAAACAAAACATATGTTCACATTAACAAGGCAAACAAACTAGATTTTCGGCAGAATGTGTCTTTAAACATTTATTTTATATTTTTTATATCTTTAAATATTAATTAAAAACTGTGTTGTTACTAATGTTGTGTTGGTGTTGTTGTGTTGTTGTTGCTAGTACAACAAATTTTCCTGAGGTTTCCACCAAAGGGATCAGTAAAGTTCTATTCTATTCTATTCTATTCTTAAAGTCTTTCCTGTCAGCAACAGACTGAACAACACTCTGAATTCATGAAGTCTTTAAAGGAGCAGCTTTTTATTTAATGCTCCTTTTGCTGCTCCTCCTGCAGACCTACCAGGTTTACGCGATGCGGTCGGCAGAGGACGTCTACAAGCTTCTGACCTCCCAGAAAACCACCTACGTGATCATCGAAGAGTCCATTTGTCATGAGCTCGCTCTCAATAAGGTCTGCGGGATCAAAAACCTGCTGGACATCTCCAACGGACACGTGAGTTGAAACTCCTTCGCCCGCACTGCCTGCACAAAAACCGACAGCTCAGGCGCCGCTAGAGCTCACCGGGTTGAGATGGCGTCTCATGTGCAGGGCTACAGTCCCCATGTGGAGGTCATGAGTTCGAATCCCGCTCATGGCTCTTCCCACCCTCCCATTCTTCTCCCCCACTTTCCTGTCGCTCTCTCACTGCCAAAAAGAGACAAAACTCAAAATAAATAAAGCTGAATTTTAATAATAGCATCATTATTATTCTTTAAATATTGCAATAATCCTGTTAAATCTTTTTTGCTTCGATAATATAAATCAGCTCATGTTTTATGGGGATTTTTCTCAGTGTATTAATAAATAAGTACCATAGATGATATGATTTATTTTCATGCAGCATTGCAGACGCTGCTTGTACAAGTGAACAGACACATAATTATAATAAAACACTAGAAGTACAGATTCTGAGAAGATTGTGCTGTTTATCTTCTATTCCACTGCATTTCGTTGTCTCACTGTTTTTGCTCTGTTCAGTGACGATAAAGCTGAGATTATTATTTTTTTTAATGCTACAACAAGGCCACATTCTTGAAAAGTTTCCCCGATGCCTCCTTCCTGATCTGCCTCTTTTGTTCCATCCAGGTGGTCTACGATAAAGGAGAGATCTACTCGTTCTCCAAACACAGACGATTTTGCAACGAGATAAAGCTGAAGTACTCCCCCTACACGAACTACTTCACCCGAGTCTTCTGGAATCGCTCGTATCACGTGTACAAAGTGAACTCGGTCATCTCCTTCCAGTACTGACGGCGGATGGCCGCCGACTCGGCTCCTCTTGTATTTAAGGTCACATCCACAGTTCAACACGCTGTGCTTCTGCAAATGTCTCGTCACTGTCACGTCCAGCGGGGATCGGCCGAGGACGCCCGGCGCGTTGTCGACGTGTGCGGACCGTGGTGAAGTTGAAATATGCCATATTAATCACTGTACTGTAGTTTTATAAGACATGCGTTGCTGTTAATGTTACTGTGATGCATTTCATGAAGGAGACGATGTTCACTTTGTGCAGAAGCTGAGAGTTGATTTATCTCGACTCCTTTTCAACCAGAAAGCAAACAGTGGTTGTAATTTTGTTAGCGACAGTGTCGGTCCATATCGCAACAACTTTTCATGAAATATCTACAAATAGCACCGGAATTAATCACTTTTCCTCCACTTTTTTGCCACGAGGGTGACGATTGTGGGGAAATGTCTTTTTCTTTTGCCTTTATTGGACAGTTACAGTGAAAAAAAAAAAAAAAGAGAAGCAGGAGAATGACATGCAGTAGAGGTCCAAGCTGGCTGGGAATCCAAACATGTGATATGCATCAAAAAAAATACAATAAATCAGCCATCAATTCACCTTTTGGTGAAATGTGTTGATAAATATTGGACGGATAGCCATGAATCTTTGCACACACATTTATATCTTGTTCAGGATAAATTGTCACCACTTAAGTGATGCCGTAGTTTATTTTTTTTAATATAGTTTGATTTTTTTACAAACATCCCTTAATGTTTTGTGCTAATTAGCAAATGCTAACAGGCAAAATGGTAAAACATCTAAACTTTGGCAAATTGTCACTGTGAGGATGTTAGCACGCTAACATTAGCATTTAGCTCACAGTGTGGCTTCATGGAGCCTCGAGTGCAGCTGTGGAATATTTATGCAGCTATGTCGACATGACAGATGTTTTCTTTTGAATTTCACTTAAGTAGGTCATATTTATGGTCTGTTCCTGTTTTTGCACTCACTGCACAGCTGGGTGATCTAATACAAATGCAATCCCATGATTTCTACTTTCATGACGCTTCAATGTCTTCAGTTTTCATTGACTCTGGTGAAAATGTGATCAGCTGTTTTTTTTTTTGTTTTGTTTTTTTACACTAAGCTTGTAGTGTGTCGTGGTGCTGTACAGACTGCATTAGTGTTCCTGATATTATGTCCACCTCAGTAACGTACATGAATAGTGCAGCACGCCTCCACCCACTGTGGGAGACAGAATAATAGAATAATCACCTTTTTAAGGGGTCAAAAACTGAAAATGTAGAAGCTAAAAGTAGAATTTATGGCAGAGCATTTGTGGCCTGTGATTGAATTACCTCCATTTATTCTCATGATTAGGGCTGCAACTAATGATTATTTTTAATCACTTAATTAATTCCCAGATTGTTTGACTAATTGTTTGGTCCATTAAATGCATCAAAATACTGAAAGTCTGTGTTTTGTAATGTCCAAGAGGACTAATGTTTTGGTTACACTCCAAAATAACTCACTTTGCTGTCACAGAGGAAGAAAGAAACCAGAAAATATTAAACTTTTGCAGTTTTTTTTTCTTCCAAAAAATCACTCAAACAGATTAACTGATGGCTGTGACTTTGACAACTGATCGTTTATTTGATGAATCATTGCAGCTCCAGTCCAGTTTGATTTAAATTCTGTCATGAACAAAAGAAAACGATTTAATATTTGTACGCATTTGTTCGAAGTTATGTTGAAATAACGATCCCAATTTGTGAGAGAACACAACAGCACTGCAATTTATACATATATATATATATATATATCGCTAAATATTCATAATGTTGCGTTATACACCAGACAACACTTTATCTCAAATTGAATATGTAACTTTGAAGAATCTGAAAAATACCAAGAAATAATTCTGCGTTTGTTTTCTGTCATCTTCTACTGTTGTTTTGTCACAACACACATATGCAGTGCATGTGTTTGTGTTGTGTTATTCTGCTGCTGCTTTTATACTCAGCTTCCAGGTCTGATCTGCAACGGGGAAGTTTAAGAAGCACATGTGATTCAGATGAGTGTTAAAACTTCGTCACTTCTGAGGTCTAAAATCAGCTACTGAATATTTGTGAAGCTGCAGCAGTCGTTGCTTCACACATGATGGATTCGTATTTGTTGATTCATTCTTATTGTGTTATTTTTTTTCTCTTTCTTTGATGTAAAGCAGCTCTGTTCATGTTTCCATCCAGGACAGAATCTGTGGTCCTGTAAGCTGAGCTGTGTCTCCGTCAGGTTTAGAGCCAATGGAAGCTGCTTCTGAAGCTGCTGTCTCTGTTTTTGTTTTTCCATTCATCAGGATGCCTTACGTTGAGGTGGCTCCTCCTGTGTCTTTATCGATTGCTCTCAGTCCTGTTTCCTTCAGTATTTGGTGATAAATTCCTCCTGGTGCTATCATGCAAATAACAACTGTCCCTTTGCAAAAGGCCACGTGGTGTTTTACTGAATAAAATATAACACTGATGTCTGTGTGGTGCTACTTGTCACGTGGTTCTTGTGGATGTTTCCTCTCTAATCAGATGCTCTCCATCTTTAGTTTCACATTTGTTCAAGTACAAATACTAAGTGCTCGAGTGTTTTCCTTACATGCTACTACAGCGACTCCACAGCACTGCAGAGCAGTATACTTCATACCAGCACACAAAATACATCAGGAGCTAATAAACCCATTTGCTTTGTAAATCCAAGTACAGCTAAAATGGTTAGTCCGTTTGTCTCTTTATTCAAGCAAAAACGCCAACAGTTCAGGTTTCCACTGTCTCAGATATGAGAATTTGCTTAATTTTTTTTTTGTTGATAATTTTAAACAATTTTTATTTGAATAGTTTTGGTTGTGTGCAAATTGAAAAAAGAAATTGAAAACAACAGGAAAACTGAAAAAAATCTCATATGTAATAGCACAATTTAAAAAAAAAAAAAAGAGTAAATATACACTTTCAATGCCAGCACTTCAATGTTTACATTTTTTATTTCGTGTTATTTTAAAAATATATATTATTTTAACTGACCCTATTATGATTGACATCCATCAATTCCAATTCCAATTTTTTTTTTTAGATATTATTTTCTCTCTTAGTTTTCGGTTCCTTTGATTTTTTGTTTTCTCTAGGATGGGCAAAATAATAATAATAAAAAAACGACTGCACATTCACATATTCAGTATCAGCTTTAATTATCAGATTATAATTAAGTCCAGGTATGTATCACATACCAGCATAGTGTTGCGTTCACAGAACAACGGAAGAAAACGGAAAACCAACAGCTATAACCCTAATAACTGCATTATTCCAACTGTGGTTAGCCTCAGTGCTAACCTTGTATTCCCACCATGTACACAGCCTAAACTGACGCTTTTTGGAGTTATGATATGTAGTATTTTGCTACCAAATTGAACCACTTACTTAAAAACAGCGTACAACCACCACGAAATTAGCTCAACGAACTGTATTAGTTCTCATTTTTAGCTTCACTGCTACCTTAAAGTCACTGCTAGCTTGACGGATACCAAATGTGCGTGAATTAAAAATCTGAGGTAGCAGTGAAGGAAGTTTATCAGTCAGCTGGTTGTAATTACGACATGAGCTTGAACGCAGCATAAACCTGCGCAGACATGGCGCTTTGTGTGTCTCCTTGGCGACGGAGCGGAACCGGAATGACGGAGGAGCGATGGCGAAGCGCAGAATGAATTATGTGAGAATCAGTCGGTGTCGCTGCTCCAGCCGCTGACTCTGAGCTTTTAGAACGTTTTAAAACCGTTTTATCGCCTTCTTGTTCGATTGGGCTCGTTCAGGTAAGACAGACCGTTCCTCCGTGCGCAGGTGAGGACGGAAACTGCAGCGAGTTAGCTTAAATGTTAGCCGGAACACCGCTGACTCCAAACACAACAGAGAGCGGGTGGACGAGGTGCGCTCGATTTAAATATAGCGGCAGCCCGAACTACCGCGTCCCTTATACTCCAGCTGTTAAAGTGAGAGTCTCCGCCCAGCTGGGAGACAGATAAGGAAGATTAAAGCGCCCCCTATCAAGACAGAAAACTGGACAGTTATCGATGTTTAGCTAACTAGCTTTTCTGACACTTTAACCTTTTAAGAAGTGGGCGTGAAAAGTAATTGCTTAGTCAAGGCAATTTTGTTAAGAAACTTTTAGAAAATATGTTAAATGTGACTGTGTTTACAGCATGTAAAAGTGCTAAATATAAAATATTTATTGTCATGAGAAGATTCTTAAAACATACAATAGCATCACCTAAATGTAAATATCCTCCAGTGCTAGAAATGCTCATGCATTCAACATTTTACAAAAACCTACACAAATATTAATCGCAAAAGTTTCTAAAGTAAAGGTACAACAATTAGTTGACACATAAACACGTGAATAAACTATGGGCCTCTGTGCACATAACATTAATATTTTTCATGTCTTTGCAGTCAATTCTTTCAAATCTCTGTATTTTTAAAAATTATTTTGCATGTCTTTATAGTCGTTTGATTTATGAATAATAAACAGCAACTTTAAAGCTGTAGGAGGCTGTGGTCCTGGGTGGTCCTCTGTCTGTCTGTCTGTCTGTCTGGTTGGCATGCTCAGTCATTCCTGCATAATTTGACATGCTGGCTTCTGTCAGGCTTGTATCACTGTATTATTGTTGCTGGTGCATTAATGCTTAATTAATATATTTTGGTTCAAAGCCCAAGCTAAAATAATCCCATTATTACAACACTACAGCAGTATTTTCTGACAGTCCAGATTTCAGTCACCCGCTTTACAGGCACAGTAATGCTCCCATATTGTTTTGATTTACTTAAAAAGTTTATACCAATATTTTAATGGAGTTATAATCTATCTTATTTCTTAACACCATTGGTCACAGTGATGTGTTTGAAAAATAAAACCTATTTCTGTGTGTCTGTCTGCTAGGGGAGGATGAGTGCTGAAGCAGCCGACCGGGTGGCTGCTGTGACCAGCAGTCGGCCAGGCACGCCTCTGCAGACGTCCTGGTTTGAGTTCCTCCTGGATGGCAGCCTGCTGGAGAAACACCTGCAGAAATCACACCCAGGTCTGCTAAGTGACGGTTATATACAAGGACCTTCAGAGGATAGACAGTGGTTTGTTAGTTACAGTGACGAAATGGATAAAATTGACCATATGTGGTGTGTATGTGCTTCTTCAGATCCTGCACCGGTGCAGCTGATCATCCAGTTCCTGGAGCAGGCGTCCAAGCCGTCTGTGAACGAGCAGAATCAGGTTCAGCCTCCAGCAGACAACCGCAGGAACCGAACCTTGAAGCTGCTGGCGCTGAAAGTCGCTGCACACATGAAGTGGGATCTGGATTCACTGGAGAAAGGGTGAGTGGTGTTTCTGAGGCTCTCTGAGGTTGAAATACAGTTGAACTCTGTGGTAATTAGGCATTAACAGAATGGACATAACTTGTCAAGCAAATAAATAGACCAATTGAACCTTTATTTAAAACTCTCAGTACGTTAAAGTTTAGAAACCTTGTTTACAATGTAGCCGAGTAAGAAAACAAAAGATGTAGATACACAAATATGAAACTAGTAAAGTGAGTAAAATATGAAAAACATTAATTGGGGAATGTAAGTTTTAAATACAAATGAAAACCATGCTGAAGCAGCTACAAGTAAAATAAAATGAATTTAAAAACCTGAATTAACCAAAGAATAAAGATGAGTGTAGCTTTAAGTTATTCTGCAGATGTACAGGGAGATTTTCAAAGCACTTGCAGCACGATCCAGTTATCTGAGCGTGTATGGTAAACATCCATAATTAAAGACAGTAATGATGTGATGTAAGTGGGTAAAAACTAGTAAGAGCCTCATGAATAAATAAAAGCTGCATCTACCAGGCCTTACAGAGAGGGAAGTCCATCTAACAGTCGTGTACAGCTCACAATGATGAGTATTCTAACTTTTACCAGTAATGAATCTTAATGCACAGTGATAAATGTTGTACAAGAGTTGGTACTGCTGCGTCATGCATGTACAAAATGTCACCATAACTGACCTTTACTGATGGAAAAGCTGCCTCAATAAGTGTTTTTTCTGCTATGCAACAAGAAGACATGAAGTTGTAGTCCCCACTGTGGACACCTGATGCTTCAAAGTCAGATTCAAGATTCAGATTTCCCAGATTGTCAAAAGCAATGTTTTTGACTCTGGTGAAAGTATTTTTATGTAGCACTGTCGTTTCTGTGTTCTCTCACATGCAGTATCTCTAATTTAGAGGTCAGTGCCTGGTGTCCGTCACATCTACAGGTTATGGTTTCCTTTTAAGCTGTTCTTTATTTACACAAATCTAATTTCCCTTTAAATCCGGTACGGTGACTACTTTGTGACTTTACCAGAAATCTAAACTTAAAATGTCTTCATCCTCCACTCTAACAAACTCCGTCTCCATCGTGTAATCATCTGACCTGCGTCTCCGTTTCCAGATTGACCATCCCGGTGTTGAACATGCTGCTGAACGAGCTGCTGTGTGTCAGCAAAGTGCCTCCAGGTGTGAAACATGTGGATCTGGATCTGTCCACTCTGCCTCCCACCACCGCCATGGCAGTGATCATCTACAACCGCTGGTGAGAGAGAAAAGACCCACTGAGGACAGATAAAACTAAACAAACAGTAAACTAGTGGCTTGACTAGGAGTGTTTATTATAATCATGTGTTTGTCACAAACTATGATTCTGGGATAAAGAAATCTAATATTCTCTGAATATTATGTGTTCTAGCTAACCAATATGGGTGTTTGATGACCCTTCCCATCGAACATTTCACTCATCAGTCTGCTGGCATCTTGAAAAAAACATTCAATATCTATTTGCATATGAAAATGTGATTGTTGGCACACTTTACAAAACACTTTACAACACTTTACAAAAGCAAAAAAACCCAAAACAAAAACAAGATCCAGGAAGTTTTGCTTAAGATGACTTCGTGCTACACAGAAGACAAAAGCAGTTTGTCTTCAGGTGAAACTATATTATTATTTTATTCATTGAACACAGGAAAACAAACAAACATGTCTTGTCTCTAGAAACTAATTTAATTTATTTTTAATATGTGACGCTGGATTCATACGCTCTGGAGCATGGACGTGTTTTTTGTTTTCTTGTTTTTGAAAATATTAATTCTAGGGTTTAAAAAAAAAGTGTTTTCTTGTTTTTAATTTTGTAAAAAAAAACTTCTTGAGTAGATTTGTATCTTTATTTTTATTTATTTTTAGGTGCATTTTTTTGTGGTTGTCTGCAGTAAATAATACGTTTTTTTTTTGCTTTTTAGATGTATTTCTGCTCTGCTAACAGTAAAATGTCTGTATACAAATACAAAGTGAATGCTTGTTTTAAATGCAAGCACATTCAATAATAAAATAGACATTGGAATTGGGCAGCTACGACACAAAATATTATTAATTTAAGTTCTTTTTTCCTATGGTTGTCTGCACTGTATAATATTAATATTTATGTATGATATTGTTTTTTGTACCTCGACCTTCCTCACCAATTAAGACCTGTTGGATCGAGCCGTGCAGTGCTTCACTCCTTTATTCTAAACTTCTAAAAACCATTCAGATCATCAAAATATTAGATTACAATCATTATTTCATAAATAATCCACATATTCATTGTACAGATTGTAGAAGAGGAGGACGTGCAACAACTGTTTGATATTTAACCCCCATGAAAATACGTTTCTTAATTAACATTGTTGCACAGAATTAACTTCATATTTGTCCAATTTGTGTTTATTTGTTGTATTTGTGTTTTTAAAGGGCCATCAGAACCATCGTGCTGAGCAGCTTTCCAGAGAAACAAACCAAACCAGGACCTCACCAGATGAACATGTATGTTACTTCTTTTACCGCTCCCAGACTTGGAGCGAGAGATTTATTGTAGAATAAATGTCCACATAGATTTTATTTTGACTTCTTGTCCAAAATAACATGAATGAATTCTTCTTTTGTGCCCTAATCCAGGTTAAGTATTGTGCAGCAGGAGAAAGAAATGACTGACAACATCCTGACTGTGGTGAGTGACCATGTGTTTCATACACAATATACATACCGATAAAAATGAAAACATTTCTTGTTAAAGAAATCTGACGGGTCGCTTCATGGATATTGGCTCTAAAATTATTCCCTCAGCTGAAAGAGCAGGCGACCGACTCCATCAGCGTCCTGGAAGGAGCTCTGCAGCTGAAGAAAGACTTCTACGTTCACACTCTGAGGACTCTGGACCTGCTGGCTGCCGACGCTGCCGCCAACGGGGAAACCGAGTCCTCGACCGCCGGGCTTCGCATCAGCGCCGATGAGCTGCACTGTCAGGTCGGTGGAGCTCACAGCGTTGTCTCACATCATTCTGGATGAAGCAGATTCGAGTGTGTTTTTATCCTAAACTTGCAATTTGTGTTTCAGGTGCATTATGACCTGGGAGGTATCTTCTTCCAGCAAGGCTGCACGGACCAGCCGACCTACGAGAAAGCCAGAGATCACTTCAGACAGACGAAGGAGCTGTTAAAGAAGGTAATCACAGTCGATTTAAGCCACAAAACTGAACTTTCTCACTATAACTACTCAGTCTGAGTTGCAGTTCTGACCTTCTGTGACAACCGGTCGTTGGCCTTCATCTTTCAGCTGGACTCGACGGTCCACGTTCACCTGGATGAGAAGCGTCTGGCCGGTTACTGGAACGCCTGCAGAGCTCTGACCGGAGACTGCGACCCCTGTGACCCCCAGACGACTCCCTACGACCAGATCAACAGCCTGATCCGAGCTCACAACTACCAGGTCACAGTTAATACAGCAGACACGATGAAGCCTGAAGGGTCACTGCATCTCAACAGTTTCTGCTCAACCATCTTTGACTTGCCTGGAATTTTTATAGCATAAAATAAGGATATTTATGAGGATATTTCTTTACTTTGAGCTTGATATATGAAATACTTTCCAAGATAATGTTGAAAAAAATTGCCCAACGGCCCACTTTCACCGGGTTTTCTCACACGTTGACATTTGAGTCTGTTTGAACGACAATATCTCAGAAACTGCTGAAGATAAATATCTAAAAATGTGACTGTTATTTCTTATGGACAAGAAGATCAAATAGTCTCTGATTATGGATGAGTTGAAATATGGAAAAAATAATAATTTGGCTGTCATGAAAAGTCGCGTCTCTTCCGTCCAGAAGGAAACTATTTTGCCAGATATTTCTCAGAAAAAAGCAAAATGACGTAACATAAGAAATGCAGTGCCTAAAGGGTAGAAAAGCAAGAAGACATAAGAGATGCAACACTTACATTAATAAAGCAGAAGTCAACTAGTGGTATTTTCTGAACACAGAATGCTTTTTTTAATATGAAATACTTGATGAAATGAATCGTTTAACTTTCATAACTGATTGAGCTGTATGACAAGTTGTACCAAAAAAACTAAAATGTTTGTTTCAAGATGCTTCTCCAAATATAACTAAGACCTTTTTCTGTTTTCTTTATCGTTGGCATTTTTTAAATTCCACTGTATAGGCATAAATCACTTCACTCAAGTGTTTTGACAAGCGACTAAGCAAACAAATTTCAAAAAGTATATATATATATCAATTTTAAATTTAAAAAACCTATAGTTGGTGATAAAGTTTAAGCAAATCAGAGATGATTGAGCAGAACGTCTGTGTTTTAGCTGAACAATCTAAGTTTCTCATGTCCTTTTTCAATATACATTTTAATATTGAATCGTTTAGATTTGACGATTTGAGATGGAATAACCTAAAAGGTTTTGTTTCTTTTCTGACTTTTGTGAGTCGTACAGCAGTAAAGTTGCGATCAGAGACGTAGAACTTGTTGACAAACTCCACTTTGACTCCACTACAGGCCGTCATCGAAGCCTTCATCAAAGACAACGTGTCCCGCAGTTTACCAAACCACTTCAGACGCTCGGTCCTCAGGGAGTTCTTGTACAAAGTCCAGCAAGGGTGAGTCCACGGCAAAGTCAAAACCTCTATATAGACTTCTAAAGCTTTTTTAAAATTTGTTTATGAAGTCATGCATGGGTTGACTCCTGGGTGTACTTCTGAACTTCTTTGCCTCTACTCTAACTTGAGGATGGGAAATCAGGGCTCTCTGCTGAGGCTCCAAAGATTCATATAAAGTTCCTCCTGCATTTGCATTTTTAAGAAAAATCTCAAGACATATATGTTTTCGATGGGTTTTTGTAACTCTGAAGGGTCTTTATTTTTAGTATTCTATATTTATTTTATCTTAAAATGTACACGTTGCTGTCCTGCTTCGTCTTGTTTTAGTATTTATACTGTTTTATTTTCTTTTGCAGAATTATTTTAGGATTTTTTTTTCCCCTATCGTACTTTTGCACATATTGTTTTTGCTGCCTGACTGAGAACGTGTACAGCGCTTTAATCGACTCAGTTTGTTCTAAACGTGATTTGAAAAATGTGTAATATTTTGCGAGCCTTTGTTTGGTTTTCACTATTACCAGTTGTGTAGCTTCTGTCTCCAAACACAAACTTGTGTTAAAGCTCTTTGTATCATTCTGCAACCATAAATCGCTCCTTTTTGACACACAAGCAGAGCCATATTTATGTAGCTGCAGACTTTTTGAGTATTAAAGGATTATTTTTGCCCTTGACGGCATTTGTATTGTTTACTATTTGTGATGTGTGTCTGTGCAGGGAATCGGGTCTGGATGAAGTTTGCCACAAGCTGTGCGTCTGCAACGCCGTCCGAGACGCTGTGGAAGGAGAAATCCTCAGCGTGCGTTTCCAGCAGCTGCTCCTCAAACCCAGTAAACGAATGGTGGACTTCATATTGGAGGTAATCGGGCTCAAATTATCTGAAATATTTTAACTATAGAGTCTGTAAGATCCTGTTTACCCTCTTGTGGCGATGAAGGACGATGCTGCGGGTGTGAGAATGAACTGCTAGTTTTGATTGAATAGATTTTACTAAATCAAGGATGAATTTTATTGGTGAAAGTAGTAAAGGTTGAACAGTAGTAGCTGTAAAAATACTCCACTACAAGGAACAGTCTTGTCTTTAAAATCTTATTTTAATTAAAGTATGAGTATTACTTACAAAAAATGCTAAAAATATAGAAAGTAAAAGTGTTTCTTCTGCAGTAAAATGGTTCGATATGATGTTTCTGGATTCATATTACTGCTGCATTAAGGTGTATGTCGCATTTTGCTGCTGTAGATGTTTAAAGTTGAGCTTATTTTAACTGCTTTATATACTGTTGGGTAGTTTAATCTACAGCAATGCATCACTTTCTGTAAGATGTTTGTAGCATCACATCGCCAAAACTTTTTATGAGCTCAGAAAAACATCCCAGTTTTCAGCTTTGTGACATTTTCCAGCGAATCCAAGAGAGCTTTTTAAAAAAAAAAGGTTAGATATCTTAAGAAGTAGAAGAATGTTCTACACCAGGGGTGTTGAACTGCGGTCCTCGAGGGCCGCAATCCTGCATGTTTTAGATGTTTCCTTCTTCCAACACACCTGATTCAAATGATCAGCTCATCATCAAGCTCTGCAGAAGTCTGATAACGATCCTGATCATTTGAATCAG